CTCCCGTTGACCTGGAGATGAGAGACAGAAGAAGGGCTGGTTGTTCCAAAGTGTGGCAAGACCTCGGGACACCTGAGCCCATAGTCAAGGACATAGCTACGGAGGGCTAGAGTTGAGAGTGAAGCATCCAGCTGATACAAAGTGAGGGGAGAAGCACAAGAACATCCAAACTTGCAGATAGTACCTATTTGACCTAGCCTTGATGGCTTGATAATCAGAACTCAACTAGAAGAAGATTAAAAAAAATTTTTTTTAATAAAGGTTGTTGTTGTTAAGTGTCGTTAAGTCAGTTCCAAGCAATAGCAACCATTTTTGGGGTTTCCAAGAAGCAGCTGGTGAGCTTGAACCACCGACCTTGCAGTTCAAATGGCTTTGCAGTCTGGTGCGTTAACCCACAACGCCACACCAGGATTCCTTAATAATAAAGGTAATGAGGGTAAATTGTTACACTTTGATGAACTTGACCTATACTCATGGATGTAGTAGCTGAAAATACCAACAGAGAGGAAAGGAGTCTTCACATGAAGTATCAATCCTATCCCCTCGAAATACATGGTAGATAGAGATGGGCAACTTAGACACTGACTACCTAAAATGAGGGGGTGATACAGGCTTGAAGTGACTGGCTTACAAGATTTCAAGACGGAGTTTAGTTTAAGAGGTGGGTAAGAAAACAGAGTCCCCACTGAATCACTTTCATCTTGTCTAGATGGGTCTGGTGAAAAGAGATATGGATAAGATTCTTAAGATTCAATAGTGAGTAATTGTTATCATGATCAATTGCAACTGTCACAATTGTAAATGTACAAGTTTTGTAACAAAAACGGGGGAGTAGTTAATCTTACAGTCCAGAAGAGCACATGCGGAATGTGGGACCCTATTCAAAGAAGCAGTGACACCAGACATGAAGGCAGAGATAAGGACAAGGAGAGAGGGAGCAGCTGAGGACTCTAGACTCATGGAAAGAAAGGGACTGAGAACTGGCAGCCAGGAGGCAGGCTTGCAGAATGTGCCCTATGGCTATTTAAATTATTGTATATTCCTGAGTGCTTTTGTGTACATCTCCCCACCCCACTCCACCCCCCAAAAATAAAAGAAAAACAGAGGGAATGGAAGCAAATACTGTTGAATGATGATGCACGAGGGTGATTGTAATCATTGCAATGAAACAATGGTGTAAAGCCGATGTAGTCCCATGTAAACTATCACGCAGTTGACAATAAAAAAAAATTTTTTTAAACTGTGTGCAACAAATCCTGCCTGGTAACTGATTTTGTATAAGCCTGTAAAGTAACTACATTTACATTTTTAAAAGGTTGAAAAACAAAATTAAAAGATTTTTTGGTGATTAAAAAAAAAAAAAAGGCTTACAATTAGGCCAAAGGGCTAATGAACCATGTGAATCCCAGTCTCCCCAATCCTGAGACTGGAAGAACTAGCTGATGTCCAGCTACCACTGCTGTCCACTCTGAAAGGAATCACAATAGGGGGTCCTGGAAACAGTGGAATGAAATTTGAAACAAGACTCAACATTGCAATATAGACCAGGCTTATTGCTCTGACAGACACTGGTGGCACCCTCCCCCTACCCCCCAAGACCATGGTCCTTACATACTCTTCAGGCCTGGAACTAAACTCATTCCATTGGCTCAACTTTGAGACAAACAATAGAGAATCTACACAGCAAACAATAACACCAGGATAACACTTTTCAGGATGACCAACCATATGAGATAAACCTCAGAAGGCAGGAAGTGATAGGAAAGAAGAACAAATGGGAACAGGGAACACAGGCAGCAAGTGGGAAGAGAATTCCAGAACATCTGATTGTGCTCATGAGGAACCTGTACATAGACCAACAGGCATAGTTTGAACAGAACAAGGGAACACCGAATGGTTCAAAATCAGGAAAGATGTGCAACAAAACTATTTTTTCAACACACTTATTCAACCTATATGCTGAACAAATAATCCAAGAAGCCAGGTTATATGAAGAAAAACGAAACATCAGGATTGGAGAAGGACTCATTAACAACCTGAAATATGCAGATGATACAACCTTTCTTGCTGAAAGTGAAAAAGACTTAAAATACTTACCCATGGATGAAGATCAAGGAGCACAGCATTCAGTATGGATTGCATCTCAATATAAAGTAAACAATAATCCTCACCACTAGACCAATAAACAACTTTCTTACCAATAGAGGATGTTGTCAAAGATTTCAT